ATGCTCTCTGTTATGTGTGTATATATATCTCCTCAATATATGTTCCATTCTATATGCATCCGAAGAAGTGGGCTGTAGTCCACGAAAGCTTATGCTCTAATAAATTTGTTAGTCTCTAAGGTGCCACAAGTACTCCTGTTCTTCTTTTTGCGGATACAGACTAACACGGCTGCTACTCTGAAACATAGTAATCCTGCCGTTCCAGGAGTGTTGCCTACCATTTATTCTCAGTGGGATTGTCCAGCCTAGTTTTAAAAGTCTCCCGCTATGAGGGATTCTTGTGAAACTTTCTGAGAGCCGAACACCCCCAAGGTATTCCCCAACATCCTCCCACAACTCCCCTTTATTTCGCTTCAGCCCAGGCCTCTTTCGACCACCCTAAGTGATTCCACTCCTACTTTCGCTGACTCCCTTCCAAGCAGAGCGATTATGTTCCCCCCAGTTACTCTTACACTCACTGGGTTTCCTAGTTTGGGCTTCGGCCCCAAGAGGAATGTTTACACGGCTATTCTTAGCTCCACAGCCTGAGCCCAGCGTGTCTGAGTCAACTGACCCTGGCTCTCAGACTTGATGGGGTGGATTTTTCTTTGCAGTGCAGCCATACCCAGAGACACCAATAAGGGGCAAGGAGAAGGGAAGTATATTTGTTTACCTTACTCCAGTTTCCAATACGCCACGAGGAACATGGTCTCAGGTAACACCTTCGAGCAGGGACAGGTTTTTTTGCAGCAACACAATCTTCATCTTTGCCTGTGCTACAATGCACTGTCCTCCAGCTAGCTCCTAAGCCACAGGTTGTGGAGCACTGGAACACAGTCAGTAACAGAGCAAAAATTAACCCCTGCCTGCACCCAGCCACAGAAACCAAAGCCCAGCAATCAGGGAGCAATGAGCTACATGGGCAACAAAGCAAACAACTTGTCTTCATGGGAAAATCCTATGGAATTTGACAGGGATGAAACCACAAGGATGCAATACAAGTTAAATGGGATTCTGCAGAAATGTGTCTTAAAACCTGCAGGGCCCAATTCACCACTGGATTACTGCGGGCAGGGCCGGCTCTAGGCACCAGCTTGGCAAGCAGGTGCTTGGGGCAGCCGCTCCAGAGAGGGGCGGCAGGTCCAGCTATTCGGCGGACGGTCCCTCACTCCCGCTCGGAGCGAAGGACCTCCCGCCGAATTGCCGACGCAGATCGCAATCGCGATCATGGCTTTTTTTTTTTTTTTGGCTGCTTGGGGCGGCCAAAACCCTGGAGCCGGCCCTGACTGCGGGTCAGTGGCGTTACATCACTGTCAATGCAACAGTGAATCACAACCACAGAATGTGACAGAGACAGAAAGCCTTTCTATAGAACATTTAAACCATCCTAAAGAAGTTAATAGAGAACTTTATCCCTGCTAGCGAATTCTTTGTGTTAGTTTACAATTCCCCAGCCATATTCTCATTCTCTAGTCTAATCAATTCCTAGAGGACTTCAGGCTTCTTTGTGTTTTGGGAGGAAGAAGAGTAGGAAAGGAGTTCCTCTAGAATAACTTTAGTTGTGTGAGCTCTGGCTGGGAGACTGTGTCCTTTCTTCTCCACTCCAGCTTTGCCTTTTGAAATGCTTTACAGATTCATGTGTTTGACTGTTACTTGGCATTACCCACCATGAGTTTCTAACTGATTATGAAGTAGCTACACCTACTGGGCCATGAAGCCACAGGGTAAGTGGGTGCAGCTCCAGGGTCTTTAGTTGACCGGGGTGGATTTAGCCTGGTTAATTTTAGAGCTTCATTTAATTAGCATTGCTGGCTTCGTTTAACTGCTCTCTGCAAAGAAACTCCTCCTCATTTCCTTTAAGGCCAAGCATTCGTCTCAAGTCTTTTTATGTGATACAAGTTCTGATAAACTTCTCTCTCCTATCAGTCCCCTTCCGAAGTGTAGAGCCTGCATCTTGTTCTCCTCTCTAGGCTCATCTCTAGCATCTTACTTTCCAGAGCACACATTATTCTCATGGTTAGGCAGCACTAAAGACTAATTACGAGGAGACTCTTGAGAAGTTTGCGTACAGAACTTAAGAATTTTGGGACAATCCTTAATATCAGTATACGACAATCAAGCACACAAGATGTAGAAAAAGGGCATTGAACGTGGGCATTATTCTAGCCCTGCATTAGGAACTGATGAGCCACATTCAGAATATGTGATTAAATTGTGCTCTCAGTTAAACCAGCGTAATTCTGTTTCATTGCTGTGACGTAGATGTCCCTGAGTAGCGTATGACCCACTGCACATTGTGAACGCTGTAAAAGACAGTCTCGATAGAGAAAGTGCAGCAGAGGGAAATTCAGATTATACTGGGGAAGCAGACAGGCACACTAACCTAGTCTCTCTTTGTGCTTTTTTGACTCACTTTATTACCATGCAATGAATTGCATCAGCCATTTGTCCGTCATTGTAAAGTCTATCCACAGAATAGTCCTAGGAAGCAATCACCATGCAATAAAGGGACACTAATAATTAGTGACAGTAGCTCAGTAAGCAGACTCGGTGCTGTAGGATTGTTCTGGTAAGCTGTAGTCTTGATGCGAATAGAATCCCTGTGATTTTATCATGTTTTGAGGCTCTCTCAGACAAAGGTGTAACTGAGCTTTCTGGGGCAGGGTCTGCGTACTATGGTGGGTCTGTACAGAGCACCACAGGGCCCTGACCTGACAGGCCCCCAGGCACTCCAGTTATACAGATAGTGGAAGTGAGTTGGAAGCCCGTTTGTGGCCAGGAGCTGGCGCAATGCTAGTGCTATATATTTAACCACTGGGCGAAGTGAAGGGCTGGGCCTCATCACCGCTAGGGAACCGGGGGGACTCTTCCCCGTGAGGCTTAGTGCACAATGGGAGTGTGCAGGCTGCTCCATGCATCACCAAGTTAGGACTAAGTTAGGGTTAGGCCTCCAGTGTCTGCACAGCGTGAGGGAGGGACTACGGAGTCTTCTCCCTGCTCTCCCGCTTGCGAGGCCAACGTAAGGGCTGCTCTAACCACAGCCTTTGTGCTTGGGGGGCACAGGCTGCTTCAGTGGGAGAATAAGGTCGCAAAGGGGGTGGGTATAACTGCACCCCCCGTTGCACCAGCCAGCAGAGCCAGAGTGTGTGCAGGGGAGGCAGGCCGCATCCCTGAGCAGCGTAACACTGTGCGTGCTCACCCATGCACTGGGAAGCTCTGGCCAGCCTCCTGCTCTTGGTCTCCACCCCCAGACAGGGCACCTCTGTGCCCCCACCCCCCCATACTGCTGACTAAGTGCCCCTAGCACCACCTCGCACTTCATTCCTTCTGCTAACGCATGGAAATGGAGCTTGGGATGTATCTGTCAGACAAGTACCTTTCCTGTAAGCCCCACAAGCGCGCCCTACCCGACAAAGCCCTGTGAAAGGACCGGGCCCATCTGCCAGACAGCGCCTGGGCTACTCTTTTCATCGGGTTCAGCTGTACTTGCCTCACTCCAGCGCCCAACTTCCCAGCTGGTCGTCACTGTGGGTGCTGTGGTAGCAGGGAGCAACAGGAAAGAATCCTCCTTTGTTTCTGCCTCCTGCCGCTGCTGCTCTGGAAGGCTGGGCGTGGGGAGAGACGTTCCACGGTCTCCAGCCTGGTTAGTAAATATCCTCTGGGTGCCCCATGGCGAGCTCTCATCCGGGCCCGCGCTTTCGTTTGGGCCTGCGCGGGTGGCCCCAGGCACATCCGAAAACACATCCTTTCTATAATGCGTTGTTTTTATTTCATTTGCTTCCCTCTCAGCCCACCGTGCTGTGGTTAACTCAGCTGGCAAAGCAGAAAGTGTCCCTTCTGGACCAGCTGTGGGGTTTGGATCTGAGGATACTGGCACGGCTGGTGCTCGGGCACCCTGCTGGGCTAGACTGTTTGATGTAAGTGTCCTGCTTTCTTGTGTGGGTGGCTCATGCCCAGGGGGAGGCGTGGACCTCAGCGGGGCAAGAGTTGTCATGGTGGCTGCTTGCGTCTCATGCGTCTGTGAAACAGCATTGAAATCATCTTGCTGCTTCTGTACATCCTCTGCACGGGACACATGGTCATCCGGTTCCTTGTTATCTGACTTATATGAACCCATCGTGGGGTGAGTGTCTCCACGTGTGCCTCTTGTTTCCAGCTCAGATCTGTGTTCAGTGGAGAGGAAAGGGGTGTCTTTAGCTGCAGGATGTAGCGGCTCGTTTGTCGTTGGCTGGGGAGGCAGGTTATGTGGGGGCCCGTTCATGTCTGCACTCTCTGCTGTTGTGGTTATATCGGCCTGTGCCTTTTCATCTTCAGTTTTGGAGTCAGTGTCACCATCATCGATGATGACCAAATCCATTTCATTGGTATCTTCCTGGCCTGGCTGGGCAATACCAGCCAAGCCAGCATCTTCGCTGTCATTGTTAGCAGGAACCTCTGTGCTTTTACCATCCTCTTCTCTGCTTCCAGGCTCTCTTGTACTTCCCCAAATGTCATACATCTCTTCTCCACCAGCACTGCCCTTGTCAACAGGCAGTGGTGGAGTGGGGATGGCCGGATAAGGATAACTGATAGAGGGGATGGTGACTGTCGCATCCTCTTCAGAAATGGTCCTTGTCAGCAGGATTCCTCGGGTTTTATCAGTGGGCAGATTATCCTGGCTGTTTATAGAATAAAGGCTTGTTCCATTCTCAGTGGATGGATGATCTTTGGAAAGTGGCGTATGCATTTCCTCCTCCTCGTCTCCAATGTAGGAGGGGGTTATGTAGTGGGCAGTAGCTGTCCCGATATCCTCATGTTCTTCAGTTATACTGAAGAGAGTTTTATTGTCTCCAACACCAGCTTTTTCCTTTTCTTCGTTATGCACATCCGCAGAAGTATTTGTCTCACTTCTTGCTGAGTTTCCTTCACTGGGTTCTCCTTCTGGTTTTACATTATACGGAATGTTAGGAGACATTTCATTAGAAGCCTCGCCCTCGGCATCTGGTTTAAACCCCTCACTCTTGATGTCTTTCTCACCCAGGGGATCATAGGACAGATCTTCATGGAAATTGATAAAATTATAATCATAGTAAAAATCATCCACAAACACATTTCCCTTTTTGTTACTGCTGCTTGAAAAATCTTCCTCTGTTATGACATTCTCGTCTTTGGATTTTGGATTATTCGGAATTGAGGGGCTGAAGTGGGAAATGTGGTGATTGGGAATGTAATTTATTTCATTAAATAGTTCTCTGCTTGAAGATCCGCTGCCAGACCAGTCAGTGTTGGCATTTTCTATTTTCTTCTGGCATTGCTTCAGGGAGCAAGTCGTTTCTGACAGTGGTCTCTGTGTAAGATCACAAGTTGTCCTAGTATTGTTACTGCAATAAACAAGGCGTCTTTGTGTTCCGTTTCCACATGTTACTGAGCACTAGAGAAGAAAAAGAAATGAAAATATCAAACGAGAGCATGTGAAACAGTAGTCAGTAAATGATAGTAAGGATGTGTATTACCATCCAACCAAGGGAGTGGCTATGCAAATGCGATGATTTAATATTTGCACGGGAGTGGCTATGCTAATATCAGTGCTAGCTTTCTGAGCCTGTAAAGCCAGAAGCCAGAAAACACTTGAACTGAGTAGCCTGCTTAGGCAATTAATAAAAATTCTGTACCTTCTCCAACCAACTTGACTCAGGAGTGTTTTACTAAATATTATGGCACTTCGTTCTGCTGGGTAGATATACAGTACCGAGAAATCTATATATTACAAAAAAAGTCTGGTAGTGAGACTATAATTAAGGGTCATTCATATTTCCGTTACAAACCACTTTTCTGGTGTATTTATATCTCGGCCTATTTTGCTTCAGGCTGAAACTTGGCCTACATGCCGGCCAGAAAGTTTTCTTGGAGTTGGGGTTTGTGGAGAGGACTGGAGAAGATGATCTAATAGCCCCAACTGCAGTTGCCATGAATTCTGGCCCTTCTCATGAAAGAGATTGTTAAATAAAGGGGTGATACCATGGGTGTGGGCCTGGTAAATGGAAACCCAAGGATTAACAAGACGTTTTGTTGAGGAAAAGCACATAATGGACCCATTGACATTATTCAGTATAAAAGAGACCCACAAACAGGAAATAAGGTCAGTGAAATTATCCTACCTAATATGTAAGTCATAATTCCATTAACATCACACTTGCTCTGAATGAGCCACAGATCGTTCTGCTGAATTATAACTGATTTATGTAGCATTAGTCATGTATTACCAAGTCCCTTCCATAATCAAACTAGAAAGGCAGACCTAAGCCCAGGGGATTTCAATAGAAATACCATCGATTTGGGTTGACAGGATATCAGTTTGGGCAAAAGGTTAATTTACAGCGACCAAAGCAAGGCAATCAGAATTCAAGGTGAATTACACCGATTAAGTTCTCAGACTATTTGCAGAGTTCATAAGTAGGGTCTGGCCAAGCAGTGCGTGGGGGCAGACCCATGTGAACAGGTGTGTGTGTGGATGGGGGTGGGTACGTTACATATGTGCAAAGATCATTAGGTTCCAACTTTGTGCTTCCGCAGTTCCCCATGCTGCTGGGGGCCTAGCTAGCCCTTGGCACATAATAACGGCTCTCTGAGGGACCAATAAGGCAGCTGGGGCGTGAAGTGAGTGGAGTGGAGGTCACATCCTCTTCTGAGGGCACACAGTGCGGGAGTTGGTTATGAGGATGTGCACAGAGCCGGCACACTGGCCGTCTATCCTGGGTGCTCGCCCACACTGGAGAAATCCTAGTTGCCCAGTGAGGGCTGTGATTTGGACCATTCGTGTCACTGGCCCATACACAAATAGGACAAATGTATTAATATCTTCAATCAAAATATGGGGAAAGCAGGCCCGTTCTCACGAACATACTAGGCCAGAGTTCAAGACTGTGTTTCTACTGCAATGGTTGAGGAGAGAGGAAGGTTGGCCCAATGATTAGGGCACAAGCCTTACGTAATTCCCTGCTCTGTCCCAGACTGCCAGTGTGACCCTGGGTAAGTCATTTAGTCTCTTGGTGCCTCAGTTTCCCATCTGTACAATGGGGATAACAGCACTGCCTTACCTCATAGGAGTGTTGTGAGGATAAATACATTGCAAATAGTGAGGTGCCCAGATACTGCGGTGAAGGGGGGCAGTGTGAATAACTTGGATGGATGGATGGATGGATGGACAAGTAGGGGTGACATTGCGGTGGGGGATCTTCATTCTGGCTTTATATGCATATGATGCTTAACGCTTTGGGGAAAACACTGGTTTCTTGAACTCTGTTCTCAGCATGTCAGTGAAGGATTTTCAAATAACTTTTTGGTTGTAAATGTAAATCAATTCATGATTTTCTAGTTTTGCTCTCCCCATTGGGGAACCGTGGGCCAGGCCTGGCCTAGCAAAGAGCTTATGGTCCTCACTATGATTGCAGCTGGCTCCTGTGTGGGAGGACAGACCCAGAGAAGCATCTTCCCCATCCTTGGCCAGCCCCAAGGTTCCCTGCATTTATTAATTGCTGACTCAGCAGCTTACAGCCTCTGCCTGAGTATCAAAAGGCAGGACTGAGCCTTTGTTTACTGTAGGTTACAGGCTCTTTGGAAATGTAAAATATGAGTGAATCTGGAGTAAGGAATGTGCTTGGCACAAGGAGCAGTTTATTTATAACAACAAGTGCTCATTGCCAGACATTTATACCAGTTACAACATAGCACTGAAATAACATGTTACAACGTACTAACATCTCTTAGCAGGATCTAAGCCCATTTCACGCCCCCTGCTGCCACCATAAAAACACAACCCGAACAAGGAGCAATGTCTCCAGCCCATTCCTTATTACGTACGCCAAAGCCTGAGAAAACAGGTGGCCCCAACACTGTACCCAGAACGTCAACAAGCTCAGGCAGCTAAGGCACAAGGGAACTGAGTCCCAGAGTAGAAAACCTCCCCTGAGAACGCTCTGGCCCCAGTCTCCTGATGTTTGAATCTAGGGGATCTCAGCAGGCTGATCTCAACTATCAGGACGGCACCAGGAGGGAGAGATTAGGAACTTCACAGGGGCGGCAACCAACAAGTACAGGAAAAGTTTAACAACATACTTTAGCCTTTTGACCACAGCATTGAACTGGGAGCTCAGGTTCTGCTGATTATCTACCATGACCCCAGGGCCGCCCCGGGGGGGAGGGGGCGGAATTTGCCCTGCCGAACATGTGGAGCGACTGAAGGGCCCCCCACGGCCAAAATGCCACCGAAGACCCGGGCCGCCGCCGGGTGAGTACAAGCGCTGCAGCTCCCCCGCTTTGCCCCAGGCCCCCTGAATCCTCTGGGTGGCCCTGCATGACCCCCAAGTCTTTTTCAGAGTAAGTTCTTCCCGGGCTAACAGTCCCTATCCTGTAAATATGGCTTGCGTTCTTTGTTTCTAGCTGCATGACTTTGCGTTTGGCTATGTTGCAATGAATATTGTTTGCTTGCATTCAGTTTACAAAGTGATTTGGATTGTTTTGGATCACTGACCTGTCTTCTTCATTATTTACCACTCCCCCAGTCTCTGTGTCATCTGCAAATTTTATCAGGAATGATTTTATGTTTTCTTCCAGATTGCTGATAAAAATGTGAAATAGCGAAGGGCCAAGAACTGTTCCCTGTGGGACCCACTGCAAACACACCCACTCAGTGATGATTCCCTGTTTACAATTACATTTTGAGACCTATCATTAGCCTGTTTTTATCCATTTAATGTATGCCACATAGATTTTGGATTATTCTAGTTTCTTTAATCAAAATGTCATGTGGTAACTTGTTAAACGCCTTACAGAAGTCTACGTATATTACAACAACAGGCATCATGTAAGCTGATCAGTGAACAGTCTGTGCAGCTCTGAATAGTCAGACACTCTAGCCTGCTCTCTGGTTGAAAAGTGAAGCGTCGATTTCCTCATGACCATATATGACAGCGTATGTACGGAGCAGTTAACCACTCACAGACAAGGGTCTGTCTACACAGCAATTACAAACCGACAGCAGGTCCGTGCCAGCGGACTCAGGCTTGCGGGTCTTGGGCTAAGGAGCTATTTAACTGCGGTGTAGATGTTCGGGATCGTGCTGGCGTCCAGGCTCTAGGATCCTCTGATGTGGGAGGGTCCCAGAGCTTGGGCTGCAGCCTGACCCTGAAGGTCTAGACTGCAATTAAACAGCCCCTGAGCCCGAGTCCCTTAGCCGGAGTCAGCTGGCATAGGCCAGCTGTAGTGTAGACATACCCTTAGTGCAGTGTTTCCCAAACTTGGGACGCCGTTTGTTCAGGGAAAGCCCCTGGTGGGCCCGGCTGGTTTGTTTACCTGCCGCATCCGCAGGTTCGGCCGATCGCGGCTCCCACTGGCCACGGTTCGCCGCTCCAGGCCAATGGGGGCGGCGGCCAGCACATCCCTCGGCCCGTGCCGCTTCCAGCCGCTCCCATTGGCCTGGAGTAGCGAACAGTGGCCATTGGGAGCCGCGATCGGCTGAAGCTGCGGACGCGGCAGGTAAACAAACTGGCCTGGCCCGCCAGGGGCTTTCCCTACACAAGTGGCATCCCAAGTTTGGGAAACACTGCCTTAGTGTGTACACACATACAAACTCTCATGACTTCCCTAAAACTCCATGTTGCAGTGGGCTCAAAACATTTGCAGGATTCTGCCAAAGTTTAGGGTGGAAACTCGTGGTGCTGCGAAATATTTAAAAGGCTTTAAAAGCTTTTATTCTGTCAATCTAATTCTTTGCACTAAGCACTGAGTATTTACTAGTCCCTGATGGAGGAAACAGCCAAATTTGAAGAAGGAAAAAAGATTATAACAGCCTCGGGGTGATTCTTTATTTTAAGATCTGTCTGGGTCACAAACCTGCCTTTCACTCGATCTGGTTTTTATAATTGCAGCTCCTCAAACAAAGAGAGAATTAAAATGAATTTTAATGTTTAAATTGTCAGGACTCCAACTATTTCCAGGAATGTCTGACAGGTGGAGTTTGAATGAGAGCTAGACACCTCCTGCCCCTCCCCCAACCTGAGTTTTCTGTCTGAATTCCTCTCCTTCCCCCCTCTTTAAAATGGTTTAATCAGAGCCAGCCCCTGTGTAAAGTGTTTCACTGCTGAGATTGTTCTAGGATGTAGTGATTCCCCAGAGAATTCTTAATGAGGGCCCTGTGCTTTGCATGTGAGTGCGGTAATGAACAAGCCACCTGAATCAAGGATTAGTTCTCCAAGCCGGTGGGTCTCAACTTTTTTTCATTTTTGAATGGAGGTGCGGACCCCTTTGGAAATCTTAGACATAGTCTGAGGACCCCCAAGGGTCCATGCACCACAGGTTGAAAACCACGGTTCTACGGAAAAGACAACCTTTCGCAGACCCCTTAGCCACAGTCTGCAGATCCCCAGGGGCTGAGAACCACGGGACTCCGGCTGAGAACCACTGCTCTAAAATTCACTGTGGTTCCAGCAGAGCCCAGTGTTCCCTGAGCATGTTTCTCTAAGTGACCCTTCAAGCTTCCCAAGGACCTGAGACTAATGTGCTCTTTACCCTTTGATTTTCTCACCTCAGACCAGTTGCCCATGGCCCATTGAGCAGGACAGAGGATATCCCTATTACAGGGCGCAGTGGCGTCTGGCTTGGAGAGATGCTGACATTCGGTGTGCTGCAAAGCCCGCTGTTCGTCCAGCCACACACTTTGAATGCAAAGGACCGTCCTCTTCGTGAGCCCAGCTTCACCACAAGTGGCAGAGCATTTCTGCCACTCGCCAACCCACCACCTAGGAAAATGAAAGGGGAAAAGGTGGGCGCTGAAGGGAGCATTCATATTAGCAGGTTTGTTGCTAGCCACAATGCAGTATCTATCCTCCTTGATAAAGCAAAACACTCAGTGTTACAGACACGTTCGCATCTCCACGTTCTCAAGCTGCACGGGCATTGGGAGCCTGGAGTGTGGTTTAGGTGTAAAGACAGAAGCTGTTTGCAAAGCAAAGGCTAGTTGGGACTGCTCTCCTGCTCTTCTATCTAGAGGTCAGAGCGGTGGGGGTCGCTAGGGAAACTTGGCTCCTGATCAGGGTTTTGGATTTCAACCTTCCCAAAAGTTCAGGGCATTGGGATTCAGGATCTGTGCTTGAGATTATCTGCAGGACTGTGTGGCATGAGTTGTCATCTACAGAGCAGCATGTGAGTTCATGGCCCTTTCCAGCAAGGTCTGAACCCAGAGGAGCTCAGACCCAGCTCCTCTTAACTTCCATTGATTTCAATAGGAATTACGCACCTAAATACCTTTGAGGATCTGTCTACAGGCCCAAGCTGCAAATGCCTATTCACAGGGACATCAGTGAGGCTCTGCATAGGAGCAAAAGGTCTCTTGTATGGCTCCAGTTGCAGGATTGGGGCCATAGTTCTTACCAGATGCCAGGGTGGAGGGAGTCAGATGCAGAATCATGGAGTCCAGTGGTCACTTTTATACAGACAGGCCAGCGCCCAGGCTGCTGTAGGTAAGTGTAGCTCTGCTGACTTCAGATGCTAATTTGCACCAGCTGAGGCTCTGCCCTCCTGCAGTCACTCTGTTAAGTAGTGAGCGCATCCGGGGCTGGATGAGAATGAGAAGATGGGAAAGCAAAGGAAAGCAAACCTGGCTGGGCAGGGCTCTTCGCTACACGTCCTCTGCTTGTCGTCGGGTCGGGTTAATGAGTCACAGTACCGCTCCTCCACTATCCCAGCCATCTTTTCCACACAGTGCACGATCTGTCTCTGAACACCTGGCGACAGAGAGAGGCAGCAAACACGGGTTCAGTTTGGCAAGCAGGGCCCTCACTGAAAATGGCTTTGGCGTGTCAAGAGCTGAGTGTTTGAGCTGCACACCTGCAGGTAGCTGTTACAATCAGCCCCCTTGACAGGGGGCTCGAGGCATGGAATGTTATAATGAAGTGGCCTCGGAATGAAATGATTTGGGCCTCAGGTCAGCAGATGTCAGGTTAGATTGCAGCGCTCCAAGACACACATGCACAGCACTTATCATAAAGTACGAACAACCAGTGCCTTTGTCTGAGCTTTCCCTTTGTTAGCCAGTCTGCCGGCAGCTCCCTCCCTCAACTCCCTAATTTAAATCAACCAAAAAAGTAGCCTCTAAAAAATAAAAAATGAAAGATGATAATGCTGACTATGTAGGAGGAATAAAATGAACTCCCCACAATACAGCCTTTAAAATGGTAAGCTACAAAAACATCAGTCAGGCACCGGCGTAGTGGGGTTTTTATTCTCTTGTTTCATTAACCCCAAGGTGTTTGGCCATTAAAAATCCATTGCTAACAGGCCTTCATATAACCTGACTTACTAAGAAGAAAAGAAAAAATCCTTAAAAATTAAATGACTTGAAAAGTCTGTTTCTGCAGTTTGTCCGTGATGCCCGCCCAGAATCTTTCATATCGTTCATGAAACTCACAAATTGTCAACTTTCTGCTAGCAGTCATTTCATTTTGCTCCCTCTCTCACTCATCTGCACTGGACCAGCTTGTTGGCGGAACAATGCTTGCATTGTCCATGGATGTGAAATGGGCAGGAGGAAACCCAATACGTGATATGTTATCACGATCAGATTTCTGGAACTGCACAGTGCTGGAAAAGAATCCTGGATACACATCTCCCACTGGTAGGTGCAGCGTGGAGGTGAAGGGTTAGAAATAGTACCAATCCACCCAGGGCACCGAGTCTCTAAAGTAAAAAACACAGCAGGCAATGCAAGATTTTCCCCAGGGAAGCAGGATGTGTTATCTGTTTGGCTGGAATGAGATAAATTCTTAGATTCTGACTTTAGATCCAATCTAGTGCACTCCAAGCAGAAACCTATAGATCAATAGTAGAAAGATCTTGTAAATGTGTAGCTGTCAAAAAAAGAAAGAAAGAAAGAAAGAAATGTGTCAGATTATATTTTGCCAACTCACTTTCAAAGCTCAGGGTGGTCAGGTAATAACACAGAATAAGCAAGGACATTTAAGTTCCCTGGTCCCTTGAATACAGTAGGTATTTAAACAAATCAGTTTGCTCAATAATGTAGGGTTACCATATTTTGTGCCTCCAAATGGAGGACACTCCAAGGCCCAC